TTTTTGCAAAATAATTTTCATAATTTTAATTATGATATTACAAATACATATGTTCCAGTTTCTACTACTATATTGCAACATGATAAAGTTGACAGAGAACTCTACGCCAATGGATGAATTCGTTCCTATGTATTCTTAGTATACATACTATGGGCGATTTGGTGTTGCGCGGCATACTATGTTCATGTATGTACCCTGGTAGAGAATTCCCCCGGGATGAGACTCGGGGAAGAGGGTCGAGTACCAGGACTGCTCATCGTGGCCCTTTCGTGAGAACAAGTGCGAAACAAGTGTCGCACAGGTTCCTAGCACCTATCTAAGGTCGGTCTCGTGTCATGTTTAGTCGTGTAATTTCTGTATCTGCAGATAAATCATATTTCATGCTTTCGAGTCCCTTTATTTATGTATCCTATATCTATTTGATATTTGATTATCTTGTGCAATAGATAAAAAAAATGTAAGAATATATATTAATTCCACAGAAGAATTGTTATAAATATTTAAATTAAATTATAATATTTGTTATTATAGATTAATCAGTTGATGAGATTTTATAATGTGATATATAAAGCACAAATGAAATTATTTATTTTAAAATGATTAAAATATATAAATTCCATTTATAAAAATTTTTATATTTATCATTTTTAAGAATTCTTGTTAAAAAAAAAATATTATTTTTCTGCAGCAAATATATTTTATAATTTATATATTTTTAAAATAAAAAGATTATTTTATTTCAATTTCATCTTTTATATTTGTTCATATTAATAAGTTAACAAATTTATCTTGATAATTTTTATAATTTTCAAATAAATTAATCTAATTTTTTTCATTCCCTTTCTATATTTTATCAGCCCACAAGAAAATAAGAAATTTGTTTCCACCAATCTTCATTCTTCATTGGAACTAACAACAATCTACACAGCTTGAATCAAAAAAGATGATAGTATCTCAAATTTAACTCACTTTCACGTCAAGCATTCCATCATCCTCGCCTCATCCAAAGATCTAAGGATTAGCCCAGCATTAGCAATATCATCCAAAAGGCTAAGCAGCACTCATCGTAGCGAAAAGAGCCGCAAAAGGAGTTAGGCGTAAACATACGAAAGATGGTTGGAGAAGCGTTGCTCTGGTGTCCAGCGGAAACGTCCTGCTCCGGAATCGATCGTAAAATCGAGACCAGGAGAGAGGGTCGGCATCATCGAATGATAGCGTTCATTCGAGCTGATGGCTGTTAGGGAGAGGTCGCCCGACGAAATGGGGGTGGCACACGGACGGGGATGAACACAGAAGCTTCGAGGGGCGGTGACTGTTCTCTCATCCAGTCCGGGGGTGGCACCAGGGATCGACGAATCAGCGCTTAGAGAACGGAAGACAGTGACCAAACCCGTTTCACCGTAACCAACTGTGGACCACACCTCCGGCATGCACCCTCTCCGCCGGTTATTGAATTAAGCTTATCATTTGATTTTGAGGAGACCCACCAGTCGGTCGTCTCGGGCTCTCTTAAGCGGGCCGAAAAACTTCTTTCTATCCGCGGCTATAATCGCAATAATTTGATATCGCTGATCCGATTACGCGTCATAAGCCGCTATCGAGCAACCAGCTACCGCCCGCGTCCCTTAGCTCTTATCTACGACCAAAGGAGAATTACGTGACGCTGCCACTGCTGCTTATTACACCCTGCCCTACGATTATCCGAGATTTCGTGGGAAGAAACGCGTCGTTGCTGGGGCCGGAAGGAAAAGCCGCGGCTGAGGCCCGGCCGGGGCCCTTAGCTTCCTTTTATCCACGTGATTTTCACCTCGTTTTCACAAACAAATTTATATATATATATATTCAGATTCTTCGAGTCAACATGTTCCAGTGAATGAAGAGAATCTATTCTAGTTCCGTTTTCACCACCGCTCAACGGGACTACTCCACGTTATCACCTGGAAAGATTCGGTTTATCAATCTCTGCTCGAGTGAAGGATCAAGAATGGAGATGAAATAAGAAGTTTCGATGAACTGTCCGGGTGAACCATTTTGTGCCCTCGATTTGAAAGTGCCCTTGTTGATCCGCCTGTGACGAAGACGTTTTCATCTATCT